ACCAGAGGCTGGGGATGGGAAATCAGTCCAGCTGGACTGACTTGCCATCCCCAGCGCAAGATCTGGTAGGGGTCTACAAGGCAGCCCAGCTGGGCTGCTTCTCGGTTCCCTTCACTAGATCGCGCCAGGGGCAGGAGACAGCTCAGCCTGGCACGATCTAGCACAGGGGATGGGGAAGCAGGCCAGCTGGGCTACCTCACCACTCCTGGCATGATCTAGTGCTGGGGATGGAAGGTCAGCCCAGCTGGTCTGATTTCCCACCCCCAGTGAAATTTGAAACAGCGTTGAAACAGCCTTACTGTTTCAACGGAACAGCTGTTTTGACTCGAAATGAAATTTGAGACAAAATACTGTTCCGTCATCCCGTCAAAACTCAAGGCAAAACGGAACAGTGCTGTTTTGTACAGCCCTAATGGGGAGCCTCTTCTTGTGAGCAGACTGATTTGGTGGTCTTTGGGTTGGGATGGACTGTGTGGCATGTTCTGGTCTTCCACTTCATGGGCTTCTCTTAAAGCAGTTCTATTTCCTTTGGTGATGTGTTTTCCCTACCATCAGCACCTGGTTCACAAGGGGCATGGTTGATTTCCTGCAAGGAATGTAGGCCATACTTAAAGGATATGAGAACTCTGTCCTGGGAACTAGTGCCTTTGAAAGAACTTGGGAGTCATAGTGGTTAATTGTCTGAACGTGGGCTTCTACAGGCTAGTGGGACTAATGTGGTTCTGCAGACATATAAACAGGGAAGTAATAAGTAGGAGTAGGGAGGTTATTTCACATCTGTAGCTGGCATTGGTGTGATCACTACTGGAATATCAGTCCAGTTTGGATGTCTAGACTTCAGTATGCATGATGGGCCATGAGAATGATCAGAAGACTGGAAAACATGCCTTGTAATGAGAGCCTTAAACCCCAAATCCAGTCCCATTCATCAAAACACTCATGGTTAAAGTCAAACACATACTTGCGTGCTTTCCTGAACTGAAGGCCTACATGAGGAGAGAGAGTTCATTCTGCAGGGTTTCCTTCAGTGTACCAGTTCAGCTGAGATGAATTAGTGGTAAGATGAACATGTGTCCATTGGGACATATTCTGAGACCTGCCAAAACTCACTTCACCTGTTTCGACTGACCCCTGGGCAAAGACCATTAAACTCAGAAAATTTCCAGCAGAGGAAACCAGCAAATCTTTGTGATTTTTATTTTGTCCCCTCTAGTTCCTGTTTGGACTCAGATTAATGGCCCTTCTGTGCTAGCATGCTGGTTGCAGTACAAACATTTACCGAAACGGTGGTGAAAATTCTTAAACTCTTAAGACAAGAACATGGGATCCTTTCAGTCTGGTGTGTTTCCATTCCTTTGTTCTGAAAGCCATCAGCACATATTCCTCTCTCTGCAGGTCAGGAATTGCCTCAGTGCTTCTTCATCTTCCTTGTCACATGGGGAGCTAGGAAAAGGCAGATGAAACCCAAATTTATCATAAAAGTAGCAAGTCTCTCCCAGACATCCCAAATCTTCCCATGGGGCTGTTTTCCCTAGGAAAGCCTTTCTAGGAGACTAAAAGTAGAATTGATAGATTAGTGTGTCAGAGCTGGATCAAAGCAGCTTTCTGCTCAATTGACTTGTTATTCACCAGAGCAGCAGATCTGTGTCTTGTGTGTATACATGCTGACAAGCTGTGGTGTGCCTTGGGGTCTGCCCTGGAATAAATCTCACACCTCATCTACAACGGGAATTGGAGTGAACACAGAGGCTGGATTCCTCCCAAGTGATGGCAGATGCTCATGCAGATGGGATTGGCAGGGATCCCATTGAAAAGTAATCAAGTCAGACTGTCCACACCCTCCCACCTAATGGATTACTGGCTCCATGACAACCCAGTGCATTCGTGCAGATTGGCCCCAGCAGGGTGTCATCTTGGATGACTGACTACCTCTTCCCAGCCTCCTGGCTGGTACTGTGTTATTTCTCTAACACATGTAGGAGAAGACAAATCAGAATGAAAATGGGACGGGGGAATACTGTGTGTTGGGTAAAGATACACAGATGCTATATTTTTCCTTGGTTTGTCTGAAAAATTGAAGCAAGCCCTAAATTGTTTGGGCTAGTGAGATGTTTTATGTCAGGCAATTCAAACACAATAAGAAGCAAAGGAAATATATAAAGCAAAAGTTGGAGTCATGAGGGGGCTCGGGTGACATTCATAGATTTGAGGTACTGGTGTTGCCATGGCCTGCCTCTCCTCCTGGTGAGGGTACTCAGCTGGGATGAGGAAGACTCAGGATTAAATGCTTCCTCTGCTCAATATAAATCAAGAAGTTAGATGCGGTTCTCCCACCTTAAAATGATGTGCTAATTATTCCACGGTAAGTCTCTCCATGTCTCTTCTTGAAGCTATATGTTCTTGTCTACATAATTAAATATTTGTTGGACCAGAGCGAGAGTGTAAGAGAGACTAATTCTATATCCTGGTGGGGATAGCGCTCTCCAGGGTGGATGGACATCCTGGTTCCAGCCATGGTTCTATGAACACTTAATTATTGCTACAAAGTGGACTAGTGTCAACCAGAAAAACCAAGACTGATTTGCCTCAGAATACTCTCTAACCTAATGATTAGGCATTCCTGTCCTGTGAGGTGAGAGACTTGAGTTCAAGACACTGTTTTCAGACAGAAGATGAACTTGAACCCAAGTATTTTGAATGCCCTAAACACTAGCGCAGCGGTTCCCAAACTCTGACAGATTGTGCACCACCAATTTAAAATGATACAACCTTAAGTACCACCAGCAATTTTTTTGCCCTCTGAAGTAATTATAATCAGTCTGTTAACACGTACCACTGACAGGTTGTCTGAGTACCACTACTGGTACCCGTACCACAGATTGGGAACCACTGCACCAGGGCGTAAGAGTGCCACCACCACCCCTGCTCTGTGACTTGTTCCTCATCTACTTTAGAATCTTTCCTGTGTCTTGTTTAGGAAACTGGACTTCCCAAGCTCACAGACCAAAGCTGTTTGCCTACCTAGTTCAATATTGCACAGAGGTAGAGGTTTTTGATATAACCAAGGAGCAGGAGAAAGGGAAAGATCATGTTTTTTAATGTGGTGGTAACATGTAGAAGCCCCATGTCAAGGAGCAGGACCTTATTGTGCAGTACAAGAAAACAATGCATGTTTTGGGTATAACAGTGATAGGAGCCCTGCAAGTATCAGGGAGAAATGAGATCTCAATGGTCTTTTTCATCTGTGATTCTCCAGTTCAGGGAAAGATTCGGATAGCAAGGCACAAACACTTTTAGGCTATGAAGGTGATGCTGGAAGATGCATTGATTTGTACTTGGAAGGTGAACAGATACTGCAGTAAAGGACACCTTACACAGAAATGCTCTTTAGTCTGAGAGATGCATGTATGTGTGTTTATGTTTGTTTATATTGGTTATATCTTGTTAATGAGATTTATATGACATGTCTGATTCTAATGTTGGAACAGATAGAGACTGCTGCTTTGAAGTTCAAATAATCATAAACTTGATTCCAAATACTGTTTAAAATGGGAACTTTGGTTTCTCTTAAGAGACCTGGCTGTACGTGCATCTGCTATTACCTCCTGGTTGCTGTTCTTTTTCTGGGTACATGGGCCCATTGCAGCCAACTTGGAGTTAAGATTGTCCTCTCTGTCCCACCATGTTGGCTGAACCTGTCTTTTTTGAGCGTGCTAGCTGCTGGCTTTGCTAATATTTTGCTCAGATTATTATTAACCTTTGTTCTCCTAAACCTGCGCTGCTTGCCCACTGCCTTCATTAAGAGGAGTGGCTAGAATTTAATGCTGGGTCCACACTGTTTGGAAACTGCCCTATGAACCATGCAACCCTCCCCATCGCCTGGTGACTCCCAAAGCTAGAACTATTCAGGTCCCAAAGCCAGTATTTTCATCCTCAGCCATGATTAAAACCCAGAATAGTATGGTTTCATAGCAGAGTGTCAAGGTTTCTGTCATTTTTTGTTTTCTATCCAGTAAAAATTATACTGCTTGAACACTTTTTATGAAGGCTTAGTGTAGAATGTGAAAGGCCGTAGTCCCTGCTGCCGTCTACTGGTTAAGGGAGGAGCAGGATAAGGCAGCACAGGTGGGTCCTGCAGCACTTGAAAGCGCTATAGTGACACAGCTGCATTTCCTGCGGCCGTGCAGTCTGACGCTCGTTCCAGCCTCTTGGCTAAGCTTAAGTCCGGTCCATGGCCATGTGGTGGACATCTGAGATGTGATTTGCCCTCCCTGGTAAAAAGGCGTATGTGGAAGACTACTATCATTCAGGCTGTGGTGTTGCCTGGTCATGTCCTTCTTTCTGCTCACTAGGGTTTCCAGCCAAGGTGATGAAGGTTTCACTGATGTTACAGACACCTTTCCTCCTCTCTTGCTTACAGTCTGTCCGGGGCCTCTTCTAATGAGTTGAAACAAGCTTGTAAAGGCAAATTCGAATATCCAGGCAGGCAGCAGCTCAGTGCTGCTACAGTGAGTTTCTCTTACCTGTCGAAAGGTATGTGAAGCTATTCCTTGGTCCCAGGGAAGTGAGCTACATTTTACCTGTACAAGATATGTGATATTTTTTACACAGGATCCTTTTCTTGTGCTTGCAATGTTACACATGCCCTTCCTTTCTGTGATATGGAAAAACTGCTTTGGAGAAAACTGGGCAGCCTCTCATTAGAGTGCACCATAAGGCTAAATAGGCTGCATTTGTGCCTGTAGTCAGAGTGTAATTGTCTCCTTACAGAGAATATAATGAAAAACTAGAGGAAAATAGCAGCATTGGGCTGTTGTAAGCTGTCCTGAGTTGTGAGACCCTCTCCCTCCAATTCAAAACCATTTTATTGTGCTGTTACCTATTCAACACCACTTTGTTGTTGATGTCCAGTGCAGTAGCAAGCACGTTGCTGGTAGTTTAATGATGAAAACAGCATTCTGGCTGAAGGAAGCATTACATATTTTATATCTTTCTGTTTCCCCACTGCAGATGAAGTGAACTTGCTGGATAAACTGACTTCATATGCCCAGGACCTCAGCAACATTTCTCTCAGCTATGATGAAACCAACTGTAGCATCTTGGAGATAGGGCAGTACTCCACTCTCAGTGTGCCCACCAGGGAGGTGTTTGGAGACAGGTAGGCTGATTTCCTAGTTCTTAAAATCTGGTTTCCTGCACACCTGGTTCATGATTTGTCCTGGGGTTTTGTTTTTTTTTCCATCTCCGTTCTTCCTCCCAGTTCTCCTAAGGGCTTGCTTATATTACAAGGTTGCTGCCACCATGCCTATGCTGGCATAGCTATGGTGGCAAACATCATTATGAAGATACTCTGCATAGTGGCAGAAGTCATTGCAGAAATTTAGCTGGTTAAAACCCTCTTTGGTCAACTGAGTTGCCTTCATACAGGGTGTTTGGTTGGCATAGGAGAACTAGCTAAGAGGTATGATGTTTTCACATCGCTGTTCAACATAGCTGTGTCAGCAAAGCTGTCGTGTAGTTAGAATCCAAGTGTCATTTCTGGGTCCTAATGGCCAGAAGGTAAAACGTCTTTGATCTGCTTCATGCCTTTCTCTTTCATCAATAGTTCAATGCATCTCCCATTTCTTTTACCTCTCCTGACTGGAGGCCAAGGTCAGGGAAATGTTTAGTGTTGGGCACTTTTTGCTGAAAGGAATTTTTTTGTAGGGGGAAATGCTAATTTCTTGGAAGTGAAACGTTGCTTTGGAGTGTATCAGTTTTATCACAATGTTTGTCAGGAAGTTTTCTTTCATCTGGGATGGCATTTTGAGAGGGAGGGAGCTTCCCAATAACCCTGGAATAGTGTGTGCTGTCTTTCAGGCTCAGTGAAAACACATACTATATTATCACCTTTGTATATACAAATAGATACTAATGACATCATTATAAAAAGGAGACCATGAGAGAGACTTCCATCCCAGAACAGCCAACTTCCTGGGGTTTGAACCTGGATCTCCATATTCCAGTTGAGTGTACCAGCCATGGGGCAACTAATTTGTTCTGGTGCTTGTATGCGTGGGAGATCACTTCCTTATTTTTGTTAAAAATGTGAATGTCTTGGGTTTGTCCTGATGTGGACCAGGAAAAAAAAATGGAAAATGAAAATGTTTGCGAGGCAGGAAGACCGTTCCAGTCCAGCTCTTTTCAGACGATACGTTTCAGCCCCTGGCAGACCCACAGTTTCAGTGAAGTATGCTGTCATAGCCTGATTTTTCTCAGACAGTGGGTGCTTAAGTTTTTTTTAAGTTCTTTTTCAATGAGGCCATTTTAAGGTGTTTCAAATCAGGCATCCAAAATCACTTGAAAATCTAGCCTATAATATGTAGCTTTTGGCAAACGTCCTCCTTCCAAAATTCCCTACAGTTAATTAAAACTACAGATTGACCCACCTTGTAATAGGTAACAATTTATTACTATTTTCTGCATGAAATAACTTGGATGAAGAGAAGTGAAGTGGCTTCCTGGATGTCCCTCTCTAACCCAGTTCCTGGCTTCAGCACAAGAATGGGTGTAGTGCTCAACATGCTCTCACAACTCCTTTGCATTGGCTAAAACGTGCAGAACCAATTAGGGTTTTCTGTCACTTCCAATTATAAGATCCTGTTTCAATTGCTTTTAATGTTGCCAAAGTTTAACCATTTGGCCAGAAATTTTATGTTCAGAGGGTCTGTCTCAGGCTGAATTAATATCAGGGAGGGGATTTCAGCTAAAAGAGTTCAGTTTGTTTCTGAGACTGATTCTAAGGAAAATTAATTTTGCTCGTGATAAAGTAAAGATATCCAGATGTTTTGTCTTCTCCCCCTTCATGCTCCATGCTTTGGAGCAAGGACTCGGTGGAAGGTATTTTCCGTCAGGAACATGCCTTTTGCAATCTCTTTGAAATTGCACGCAAGTCTGACCAAGTGTTAAGACTTTGAATAATTGCAGCCCATGGAGTTTGTGTTTTTGTGGGGGTTTTGTAATCAAAATCCCCACAAAAGACTGGGGTAAGAACTGGGTTTGAGTAGGCAAATAGGACAAAGCAATTTCAGGAAGAGAAAGGAAGCCTACATTGTTAAGGCAGTTTAATGCTGCTTTGGAGAACTGGATTCTTTTTGACATAAAAACTGTGTGATACTGAGCAAGTTGTATATAAACCACCCTTTTTACTTTTGACCCCAAACTGCATTGCTTCTGTACCTGATTTGCACAAATGAGGAGCAGACACAGCTGCAGCTGATGTCCATACAGCACCATACCTAGACTCCTGGCAGTCCCAGGTGAACTTCTAGCATCAGGCTCCACTTCGCCAGAGATAATGATGAAGATAATAATAATAAAAATTTCCATTTTTGGGCACCCTTTCTGTCCAGGCCCCAGGCAGCCACCCAGTTTGCCCATACCTGTGTCTGGCCTTGTGTCCCCCGGGCAGCCACCCAGTTCACCCATACCCATGTCTGGCCTTGTGTCCGTAGAAGCTGTCCTTGGAACATCTAAAGGCCCATAGACTGCTGCATTCTCTGTAAAATTAGACTCTGGGCATCCTGCATGGATGGGTACTTGAACTTTACTATCGTTGTTCCTCTGATTTTCATCAGGAAAATGAAGACACTAATACTGTTTCACCTCATGAGGTGTAGTGAAAATAAGCTCATTAGTATTTATAAAGTGCTCATGTAGTACAGGGATGAACATCTTAGAAAAGCCCTGCAGAAAATTAAAAATTTGGCCTTCAGGGCAGGATTTGTATCGACTGTGTGGTCCATACATTGAACAATAAAGGGAAAGCAAAGTATTAGATAGCTGTTCTTCAGGTGGACAGTATTTTCCTGGGGCAACCAAAGATGCTAGGACCTGGTGAAGAAAAAATATGCAGCCATTCAATACAAGCAATATCAGAATCCATAAGGGAAGGGGATGAATTAAGGATACATAGGTAATTTGAACTCCAAAATCTGGCCTTTGCTAACATTTGATTGATTAACCTTGCAAGGTTAATCACTCTTTAGCTTAGTTTTCTGTTCATGATCATGTATATGAATAGACGATTGCCCAGTTCGTTACACCAGGTGATATAAAAGACCATGCTTGGTTTCTCTCTCTCTGTCTCTCCTAGGTTTGCAGATGAGTTGAGTGTGCTGCTGAAACTCAGATACTCTCTGAAGGAGGAGACTAGCCTCTTGACTATCCTCAGTCATCACAGCCACATGCTGTTCCAGATACGGATTAACCCCTATGCCTTAGTCTTTGTCACCACCAGGAGGCGCCATTATGAGTAAGTTCTATCCATTTTTTTTTCTTTTTCCGCCCCAAAATACAGCGTAGACATTTCTCACTAAGATTTCACCTAAGATGAGCATGACCGTGCCAAATATGTGCTGGTGAGAACAAAAGGGTGACTGTTCATGCAAGTAATGTCTTGGGTACTAGATTCTCCATTTTGCTCCCATTGCTACTTGTTTTGTGTGCATTCGCATGTGATGGTACCCACAGGTCCACCTTTTACACACTCAAGGGGTGTGTCTACACGACGTGCTACTGCACGCTAGTTACTGCACATTTGTTTAGTGCTTGTAAAAGCAAGTACTAAATAAATATGCAGGAACCCAAATTACTGTGTCATAGCACAAGCAAATGCCTTTTTTTGTGACGCTGCTGTGCAGTAGCCTAATACTACTACACAGTAGCGTTGTGGCATAGTTTTTGCCATGGGATGGTACTGTGCAGTAGTATCAAGCTCCTGCGCAGTCAGTTTCATAGTTTCATAGTTTCTAGGGTTGGAAGGGACCTGAGCAGATCATCTAGTCCAACCCGCTGCCATGGCAGGAAGAGCACTGGGGTCAAACGACCCCAGTAAGGTGGTCATCCAACCTCCTCTTAAAAACCCCCAGGGTGGGAGCCTGCACCACCTCACTTGGAAGCTGGTTCCAGACCCTAGCCGCCCTGACCGTGAAGTAGCGCCTCCTGATGTCCAACTTAAACCTTCCCTCCG